AGTGCCTTCTTAAAATTGCTTTTGATTTCTATAGTAGCCAGTGTTTTAAAAGTACAATATCTTAGGTCATTTTCCACATTTTTCCACTTAGGGAAGATTTGAAGTAATTTTTATATATTTATTCTTATGTTTCTATGTTTTGCAAATTCTGAAGACAATGAGACAGAGATGTTGGTCAAGTCAAGGAAAATGTTTAATGAGAGCAATTTATAACTTCTAGGTGTTTATTACTTATAGAGGCAAAATAGAATAAACTGGTTAGAGATAACTGATCCAGAAACTTGACTGGATTCTAAAGAGCCAATAGATCGATTACATAAATCTCTGTGCTGTTCCGAATGCTTTAAATCTTTCATGTTTTCACATTTTTTAAGGCTGTGTTCATGTGAGGCAAACACCTTAACACCTTATGATGTAAAATACTGGAAATTTTAATATAGTCCTTTTACTTGACTACAATGCAAAAGACTTGGAGCAGTTAACAAGTGACAATTTCTGCCTGATTCTCAAATTTATATCCACCTGGGTTTTAGTTTTTTAACACTTATGTTTCTAGCATTGTATTATCATTCCTTAAGGGCAAAAACAGCACACATGGACTGGCTACATATGAAAAAAAAAAAATAAATGGATGGAACAACTCCAAAATCCCCTAAGGACCTTCAGCTCTAAGAGTCTCTGGATTTCCTTCTGTCCAGCAGTATTATTTACTGGATTTATATTCTTCCTCACCTACCCATGCCAAGCTAAGATGAAAGGTCTTGTATGAGTCAGGAAAGAAAAAATACTGGCTTGTCTCCATGTCAACAGTGACAACAAAAATATTAATTTGAGAAACCATCCACTTTGCTCCCGGGAAAACATCACAGAAAATAAAATTAGCTGTTATAAAATGCTTCATTAACTGGGGTGGGAGGAGTGGTCACTTTGATGTAGCTACTCTGCAAAAAGATGTCTTCATTATTTTCTATTATTGGCCAAGGAATTCTAATTTAAGAAAAAGTGAAGGAGCATTTAATAAGTGCAGCAATATCACAGAATAACCCATATCTGCACCCAATTTCCCCTACGCAAACATGCAACAAACTTCCAGTGGTTTAAGTGTTTTGGTTCAGCAAACTCATGTTATATGTGAAACAATCACACATAAAACATTGTACACAGCCGGCTGACAGCACACATTAGGTGCTAATTATTGCTATTATTCTTCTAGCTGTACACACATTAATAACACTTCCTTAACTTATCTTCTAGGAGAGGAGGCTCTTCATCAAAACTGTCAATGTAAGAAGATTGTGAATAATAATCCGAGTTGGATGCTGGCTGAAAAAATTGTCCTGTATAACCTGGTGACATGAACATCTCTGGTGGAACAAAAGAGGCAGGCTGAGGCTGCTCACCAGCTTGTTGTCTAGAAAAAGAAAAATGAAGATATTTATGTGCCTAAGAAAAAAATATCATGACAAATCAATGAGATAAATAACAATTTTACTTATATGAATTCATGTCGTTTTTATGAGCATTTACTCATAAAAGAAACAACTTACTTAAAATTTAACTTTTGTCCAAAAATGTCAAATAACTGGTTATGAAAAGGCTTCTGGAAAAATAATCCATGCCAGCAAATATTAATTGAGCATGTACAACATGCTGAATGCTTCCCCTCATCTTTTCTCAATTAAAACTCTATAAGGAAAAAGCTTTATTTCCAATCCCATTTTACAGAAAAAGACATAGTAGTTCACAGAGTCTGGTGTGAAGCTTTCTGAGCCGTTCTCTGCTCGCCATACACTGCTGCTTTTTTACTGATCTTTAGGCGCAGCCACCAGCCATGAAGCCCCTTCAAATATGTGGAAGCAGCAAGGGAAAATGATAACTTTAATAGTATAGTCAACTGACAGGAAAAATAAATAGATACACTAACTGCTGTGCATAAGGAAATACACATCAGTTGTGGCCATTCCCAGACAGTCATTGCCAATAGAATTGTCTCTGAGTTCCTAGCTAAATGTATTATCTAGTTGGCTTTAGTGTCTCTTTATTTTATTTGTACAAATCTATGGCGTACATATAAAATTTTTCTTTACATGCATAAACTGTATAGAGGTCAATTCAGAGCTTTTAGGGTATCCATAACCCAAATAACATTTATTATATGCATCAACTAATTTCTCATCACTCCTCTCTTACCCCCTCCCCCTTCCAAGTATCAACTGTCAATAATTCCACTCTCTACCTCCATGTGTACGCGCTTTTAGCACCTTTATGAGTAAGAACATGTGATATTTGATTTTCTGTGCCTGGCTTGTTTCACTTAAGATAGTGACTTTAATTTCCATCCATATTGCTGTGAAAGACATGATTTTATTCTTCCTGTAATCTTAGCACTTTGGGAGGCTGAGGTGGGTGGATCACCTGAGGTTGGGAGTTTGAGACCAGCCTGACCAACATGAAGAAAATCCGTCTCTACTAAAAATACAACGTTAGCTGGGCATGGTGGTGCATGCCTGTAATCCCAGCTTCCCTGGGAGGCTGAGACAGGAGAAACACTTGAACCCGGGATGTGGAGGTTGCAGTGAGCTGAGATCATGCCATTGCACTCCAGCCTAGGCAACAAGAGCGAAACTCCACCTCAAAAACAAACAAAAAACATTATTTTATTCCTTTTTATGGCTGAATGGTATTTCATTGTGCATGTAACACATTTTCTCTATTCATTCATCCATTGGTGGACACTTAAGTTAATTTCATACCTTTGCTGTTGTGATAAACATGTGAGTGCAGGTAATTTTTGACATACTGATTTATTTTTCTTTGGGTAGATACCCAGTAGAGGGATTGTCTGATAAAATGGTCATTCTATTTCTAGTTCTTTGGAAAATTTTCCTACTGTTTTCCGTAAAGGCTAATAATTTACATTCCCACCAACAGTGTATAAGGGTTCTCTTTTCTCCACATCTTCATCAACATCTGTTACTTTTTGTCACTTTAACATGAGCCATTGTGACTGGGAGATGATGATATCACATGGTTTTTAAATTTTAATTTCTCTGATGATTAGTGATGTTGAGCATTTTTTATATACATTTGGCCATTTGTATGTCTTCTTTTGAAAAATGTCTGTTCATATCCTTGCCCACTATTTTTCTTTTTTTAAAATTTTGTATTTCCATAGGTTTTGGGGGAACAGGTGGTATTTGGTTACATGATAAGTTCTTCACTGGTGATTTGTGAGATTTTGGTGTACCCATCACTTGAGCACTACACACTGAACCAAATTTGTAGTCTTTTAACCCTCACACCCCCCTTTCCCTTTCCCTTGAGTCCCCAAAGTTCATTGTATTATTCCTATGCCTTTGTATCCTCATAGCTTAGTTTCTATCTATAAGAGAGAGCATTCAATGTTTCATTTTCCGTTCCTGAGTTACTTCACTTAGAATAATAGTCTCCAGTACCATCTAAGTTGCTGCAAATGCCATTAATTAACTTCTTTTAATGGCTAAATAGTATTCCAAAGTCTCTAATATCCCAAATTTACAAGGAACTCAGACAAATTAGCAAGAGAAAAAACAAACAATCCCATCAAAAAGTGGACTAGGGACAAAAACAGACAATTCTCAAAAGAAGATACACAAATGGCCAACAAACATATGAAAAAACGTTCAGCATTACTAATAATCAGGGAAAAGCAAATCAAAACCACAATGCGATACCACCTTACTCCTTGCCTACATTTTAATGGGATTGTTTCAGGGGTTTTTGGCTGTTGAGTTTCAGGTCGTTTTTTTTTTTTTTTTTTTTTTGCTTTTCACTGGCTGTTTGTATTGCTAATTCAATCTTGCTACTCATTTTTAGTTGGAGCCAAAGCCAGATGGAGGTAGACTTGGCAAGCTTGTGCTCGGACCCCCTAGTCATGAGTGCATGCACCAGTCATAACAGGTGGGAGTAAAACAGTCTGTTGAAAAGTGGGTTAAGGACATAAACAGACAATTCTCAAAAGAAGATACACAAATAGCTAATAAACATATGAAAAAATGCTCAACATCACGAATAATCAGGGAAATGCAAATCAAAACCACAATGTAATACCATCTTACTTCTTGTCCACTTTTTAATGGGATTGTTTCAGGGATTTTTGGCTGTTGAGTTCAGTTTCCTGTATATTTTGGATTTTAGTCTCCTGTCAAATGAATACTTTCCATATTTTTTCTCCCATTCTACTAGCTGTCTCTTCACACTGTTTATTTATTTATTTATTTATTTATTGCTGTACAGAAGTTTTTAATTAAATCCCATTTGTCTATTTTTGTTTTTGATTCCTATGCTTTTGAGGTCTTTGTCATAAATTATTTGCCTAGATCAATGTCCAAAAGTTTGCCCTATGTTTTATTCAAGCATTTTTACAGTTTTAGGTCTAATGTTTAAGTTTTTAATCCATCTTGAGTTTATGTACATTGTGGGAGATAGGAGTCTGGTTTAATTATTCTGCAAATGGCAAAATTCAATTGTCCCAGCACCATTTATTGAAAAGGGTGTCCTTTTTCCCACTTATGTTGTTGTCAGCTTTGTCAACGATTAGTTAGCTGTAAATATGTGACCTTATTTGTGTGTTTTCTATTACGTTCCATTGATCTATGTGTTTAGTTTTATAGCAGTACCATGCTGTTCTGGTTACTATAGCCTTGTAATACAATTTCAAGTCAGGTAATGAGGTGCCTCCAGGTTTGTCCATTTTGCTTGGGATTGCTTTGGCTGTTTGGGCTTTTTTCTGGTTCCATATGAATTTTATGATAGTTTTTTGTAATTCTGTGAAAAAAATGATGCTGGTATTTTGATAGCAATTGCACTGAATCTATAGATTGCTTTGGGCAGTATGCTCATTAAAACAATATTAATTCTTTCTATCCATGAGCATGAGATGTTTTTCCATTTTCGTGTCATGCACAATATTTTTTCATCAGCCTTTTGTCATTTTCCTTAGAGATAACTTTCACCTCGTTGGCTAATAAATGTGTGCCTAAATTTTGTTGGTAATTATTGCAAACAAGACTGCCTTCTTGATTTGTTTCTCAGCTAGACAGTTATTGCTGTATAGAAATGCTACTGATTTTTTATGTTGATTTTATATCCTACAGCTTTACTGAATTCATTCATTAAATCTAAGAGGTTTTGGTGAATTCTTTAGGTTTTTCTAGAAATAAGATTATATCATAAGCAAACAGGGATAATTTCACTTTCTCTTTTCCAATTTGGATGGCTTTTATTTCCCTCTCTTGCCTGATTTCTCTACATAAAATTTCCACTACTATGTTGAATGGGAATGGTGAGAGTGAGCATCCCTGTCTTGTTTCAGTTCTTAGAGAAAATGCTTTCAACTTTTCCTCATTCAGTATGATGTTAGCTGTAGGTTTGTCAAAAATAGACTTTATTATTTTGAGGTACATTCCTTATGTTCCTAGTTTGTTGAGGGTTTTTATTATGAAAGTCTGTTGAATTTTATCAAATGCTTTTCTGCACCAATTGAGATAATCATATGGTTTTTGTTCCTGGCTCTGTTTATGTGATTTATCACATTTATTGCTTTGCATGTATTAAATCATCCTTTCATCCCTTGTATAAAATCTACTTAATCATGATATTATTTTTTTGATGTGCTGTTGCATTTAGTTTGTTGGTATTTTGTTGAGGATATTTGCATCTATCTTCATCAGAACTACTGGTCTGTGGTTTGTTGTTGTTGTTGTTGTTGTGTCCTTGTCTGGTATCAGGTATCACTGGCTTTGTAGAATGACTTAGAGAAACTCCCCCCTTCTGAATTTTTGGGAACAGTTTCAGGAGGATTGGTATTAGCTCTTTTTTGTACATTTGGTACAATCCGGCTGTGAATTCATCTGGTCCAGGCTTTTTCTTTGTTGAGAGACTTTGTTGAGATGTTGATTCAATCTTGTTACTCATTATTGGTTGGGGGCCAAAGCCAAATGGAGCTGTACTGGGCAAGTTTGGGCTCAGGCCCCCCAATCATCGGTACATGCAGCAGGGGGTAATATTTTCTTTCAAACATTAATCTTAATAAGAAATCTAAGAATAACATATTCAACCTTCTTTATGTGAATAAGTCTGACCAAAAGAATAACTTACTTTGGAAAAAAAGCCAAAGATACAGAGGAAGAGATATACACTTAATCATTTACTACTCAAATGTATGCTCATTAAGAGCAAGACCTGGTGTAATACTATTTGAACCTGCCAGAATGTATGGTGATTACCTGCTATTATTTTTCACTTAGCCATGTGTAATATTCCAAATCTACTTTCTAGCAAAGTAGGCACACCATCAAAAATATTGGTAAAAAGAAACTATAAATAGGAACCTGAATGGCTTTTTTGCTGATAAATTCCCCCAGTACTCAT